CCCATTTTACAAACTTTACTTAATAATTTAAAATAATTAACTTAATAAAATTTTTTAAAATATTAAAAATAAAAAAAAATTACCATCAAAGTCATATAAAAATGATCTACATTGAACTCTACCCTTAAGTATTAGATTCTAATAAAGTACTAGCATGACTACTTAAGTTAAAAAAAAAAAAAAAAAATAGCAGCATGTTAGATGTAACATGTTTTCAGTAAATCTAATAATTGAAAAATAAAATAAATTTACTTTATCAGATAGTATTAAAACACTATGCTTTCATTAATAATAAATCATCACGTATTTCGCGTATCAATCAAAAGAATTTTTAATCACGTTTGGATCTACATCGATAACCCGTAAAAATAAGAGTTTCTGCTATGCTTCTTCTAAACGCATTTAATAAACTTTAAAAAATTTTGCTGCGCCATCAACCTGGCACGGGTATCAAGAATATAATTTATGCAGTATGTAGATCAATATATTGGATTATAGATTGCGTGAAACACACGTCTAGAATCAAAATGTTTTCCTCTCGTAATGGAATTGTTTTTAATAATTTAATTCAATCACTTAACTTGTTCAAAGAGGAGAAGCGCATTAAAACAAAGGCAACTGAAATTTCGAGCCAAATGGACGTGAAAATTGGAAATGCACCTGGTTTTAAGGATTGGTCAACGTGCAAACCTATCTACGCAGTTCATATTGCGTGCGAAATGTAATACTCTTATGCGTATCAATTTCAAGCTTGTTTTTAAATTAATTTTTACCTTTATTTAAATATTTATTCAGGCATCATATCTCATTCGACCGAAAAAAACTGTTGAAGTTAGCAAACACTACTGAACAGAATTATCATTCTTCCCTCTCTTATATCAAAAAAATATTGGAAATTCCTTCCTTGATAAGTTTTGACTCACTGGCTGCGAAATTTGGATGTCCTAAAATTATCCCGTACGTTGAAACAATGTTTGAAATTTTCAAAGAGGAGTGGGTTAAAGATCTAAGTGCAGCGAATATTAGAGAAATTGATTGGAATGATGACATTTATAAGATAGCGGTATTTGGGTGCTGTGGTAAAGTTTTCGGGGTAAGTTTCAATTAAAACATCTGGGTGTACTTTTTTTAAATTTCAAGTGTGTTTATTGAAATAAATTAAAATTATTTAAGGCTCAAAGTCGAATCAATCAACAGCTAATAAATTCGCCTGATATTTCCGTATCACGTCCGGCATTTCAAAATATGACGCGACTCATTGAGAAATATTGTAAATCTTATATTAACGAGCTTAAGTCTCAAATTAAAAATGATGGTCTAGCGACATTCATGATATCTCCAATGAAGGGGAGTAGTTATGTAAGTGATGTTAGTGAAGGAAGCATTAAGAAAAGAACGCGACAAGACGATGATGATGATGATGATGATGGTGATGACCCAAAGGAAGAATCTTCTTTAGGAGACCGAGCAGGAAGTGGAACGATGGTATGTAAATGGGTAATTAATATATAATTTAATAATTGTATATTAATGACGCGTTCATTATTAATAGAAAATTGTGAATTTTAAAGAGACACTATTATATAACGATTATATTGCTTGGAGATCTAAAATTTTAGAGAAAATTGAAGAAATGGAGAGCCAATAACAATTAGAGGACATGTCATACCTGTTGGTATATAAGTTTTAGTATATAATAAAAATTATAATAAAAACATAAATATAGAGTGTTATTAGTGCGATGCATCGCCACCCTGATCGACCAATCAGAATTTAAGATCAAGTGTAACGTGAAATTACGATTTTTTAAAAAATCGCTTGTAACTCAAAATTTCGCTTATAAAACCACTTGCTTCGTACTAAGAAAAGAAATTTCTTGCAAAATTTTGAGTTAGAAACTCTTTTACTATTGTATGTTGCTAATCTAATAAATCTTTAATCTTAGGGTTCAGGACATAGGGGAATGAGGCATTGGGGTGGGCGGTCAATTAAGTAAATCAAAACTATATGTAGTGTTATATAAAAATTTATTATTGAATTTTGTGTAACACTGCAAATATTTTATTTTGCAATATCATTTTATTTATTATACGTAATACAGTAATAATAAAAATAAATGCTCTAATGCTAATTAATGCTAGATAGCTAGTAACAATTATATATTTAAAAAGATTTGAGATGATATTAGGTTTGAATTTTAGTATATTTACTTTTTGCAATGGAATTTTTTTTGATTTTCTTGTATTTTTTTTAATTCTTTTGATAATTTTTTTATTGATTTTAATTAATAACAAATGAAGCTTAGACTGCTTAACTAATAATAACATGTTAAGATGAGTCTTTAGATTTAATATATTAAAAAGGTTTTTTACTTGTTGTTAGTATATAATTATAAAATATATTTAAGTTTTTATAAAATTATATAAATATAAAAAATTGTATATAGGTAATTTATCATTAGTATAGAATTGTTCAAACTCTTTAAAAAAGTTTTCATTTTATAAAAGTAACTCTTGTAAGCCAAAGTTATTAGTTATTCTATTTTTTAAGTTATCTTCAAGTTCTGATATGAATTGCAACTTCAAGTATGTTAATAATTTAATCTATAGTTTTTCAAAACCATATAGTAAAAACTAGAAGCAAATATTTAGTATTGTTATCACCTAAATGACAAACAACTAATGGTAGATAAAGTCAAGATAAGAATTATTTGTTGAGATCTGTGAGTTGATAGCAAAGTGTTTACACTCCTAGGTTGCCAATCACAAGATTGTCAGTTTAAGTTCAATAAAAGACAAAAACTGAGTTAGGACCATGATTGTTAATTAATTACATCTAATGACACACTATGAAAATAGGAAAATCTTTAGTACCCAGACCTTTAAATAGTGATAGATCTGATATAAGAAGACTGTAATGATTAGAGAGCTAAGAATAATAATAAAACAAAGAAATTCCCAATTAAAAATAATTCTGGTAAAATTCTGAAGTAATAGGAACACAAAATCAATATATAGATAGTATCATAAAATGTATATAAATAAAAATGTAAATGTAAAATATAGATGGAGTCCTAATAGAAGGTCCTGTGAACTTGAAAAATTTGAATTAATAAAACAGTTGCCAGTTGCAATTCACTAGTAACTATGTAGTAGAAGATTAAAAAAAAAAAAATTATTTGTTAAAATACTCTAATGCTTTAAGTTATTAAAAAATAGTTCAAATTCTTTACTAAATAATGTATCTAAAACTTTTAATAATTTGTTAATAAAAAATATTTTAAAATTTATAACAATGTTTTAAAAAAATTTTTGTTATTTATAAACTTTATTTAATATTTTATAAGTCTAATAACTTGGTAGTAATTTAACCAATTGTTTATTTTAATAAATATGCAAAACTGTATCTTATTTAACTACAAACTGCATTAATAGTTTATAAAAATAATATGCAAAATTTATTAAATATTTTATTTGGATATTTATTTTTAGATCAAGAAGTCAGTAATTAAAAAGATGCCAATCATTAAGATATTGTTTTTTTTTTGTTTTTTTTTTGTTAAGATAACCTCTTTGGTCTTTTGATTTTTATTAACAACTTTTTGATAATGTAATTTTATAAACTATTACAAGAAGCATACAATTGGTTACATATGTAATTTTTTTATATTACTTATTTAAGAAGTCCACTTGAAGCTTTTTTACCAATTGTTATATCTAACACTTCTGTTTGAATGTTTTACTTTAAACTTTTTGAACCTATAATTTGTATTAACTTATTAGTTTATATTCAGATATCCAAATCATTATCTCAACCTTAGGATTATTTTATCTTTTAGATAAACATTTTAGAGCTTTTTATATTCATTTTTATAGCTAATCTAGGTATCACTATGGCAAAACCAATACTTACAGTCAGAACTTAATCATTAAACTGCTATGTTCTAATAGAGTTTATTTAGATTTCAATATCTACTTTATAGCATAACTTAGTATTTTAGTATACTTTTGAATTTCATCAGACTTTCAATTTAAATAGCCTATATAGGACTATAACCAGTCTATTAATATATTAAATTAGCTCAATATTCTTTTTATCTAGTTTATTTTAATAGTCTAGTTGATAATACCTCTAAGACTTCTAATCTAGAAGTTCTTGTTTGTTTAGTTACTAAGATCTTGATATATGTTTTTTTAAGCTAGCCTTTATAGTAGTGTTATTAAAGATCTAATTATCTCTCTAGTCAAGTCTTCTCAAATAAACTTCTTATTATATAATTTATATAGCCACAAGAACTTATCTAGTATTTGCATTACCTAGTTTTCAGTTTGCATTTTTCTATATAACTTCAACATTGCACAGATGTTCTATAACCTGTCAGTCATGTTGATGTAACTACTATTACAGATATTCTAATTTAATCATTAGTAACAGATATTATAATATGAATATTACATAGGTAATTATTTAAATTTTTGCTATCTATAGGATTTGAACATCCAATCTACTACTTGAAAGGTTGACAACTTGATCACTTTAATAGGTTGTTACACTCCTATTAAAATATTGTTTTAAAGCTTTGTAATTTTTTAATTAATTAATAAATTAACTAGTAAATTTAATATGTATTAATTATTGATCAATATATTGCTTGGTGATTTATAATTTATAATCTCAACATACTCAAAATAGTAATTAATATAATTAAAGTAAAATTCTAATAAAGTATTATAAAAATCTATAATTATTAATAAATTTATATTTAATAATTTATTTTTATTACTAAAATTATAACTATTAAATAATTTTCAGACTAAATAAAATAAATTATAAGAGGTGTAATAACCTAGTGAAGTGGTCAGGTTGTCAACTCTCCAAGTAGTAGATTGGGTGTTCAAATTTCATCAATGATGAAAATTTGAATAATCACCTATATAATATTAGTATTATGGCAACTATTACAAATAATTAGTTTAGAATACCTGTAATGGCAGTCATATTAGCATAACTGGTAGGTTATGGGGCATCTGTGTAAGTATAGTATTATACAGAAAAATGCAAACTGACAAATCAGATAGTGCAAACACTAGATAAGTCCTTGTGGCTATGTAAATCTGTTGAAATTAGATAACAAGAAATTCATTTGTAAAAACCTAAGTAGAGAGGTAGCTGAATTTTTGACAGCCTTATTATAAAGGCTAGTCTAGGGAAACAGATACCAAGGTCATAGTACCTGGTTATAATAGCTAAATAGACAAGAACCTCTAGGTTCCTTATGGAAAAATATATATCAAAATATTAATAAAAATTACAGAAAATATATAAAATATATAAAATATATACATAATAATAAGATTTATATACTGAATTATAAATAATGCTATTACTTTGATAAAAATTATTTTAAATATATACAAAATTTATTCTTAATGAATATTGAATTATTCTTAATAGATATGAAATTATTATTTATAAAGAATTATTACTAAATTATTATTCTTAATAGATACAGAATTATTATTTATAAAGAATTACTACTGAATTATTATCCTTAATAGATATGAAATTA